TTTGGGAGGAAGAAGGAGAAAGGTGAAACTGGAAACAGCTGTGCGAAGAATTATCTATATCTATCTTCTTCTTTTCTTCTTCTTTAACTACTTTTCTCTCTTTTTTCTTTTTTCTATTCATTTCTCTATCGTTTTTTTTTACATGTTTCTCTTTTCTTCTCTCTTTCTTTTCTCTTTCCTCTCGCTCTTCCTTTCCTTTATTTTTTTTTTTAATGAAATTATTATTTATACATATGTGTCTAAAATAAAAATTGAATAAATGTCAAGTATTATGAAAAAAATGAATATGAAATATTTAAAATATTTTCAAGATTATATATCAGAAATTGTTCTATTTCTTTTAAAATGATGCAAAATTTTGAAAATTCGTTATATATGTATATATAACGTCCATCACTATTTCTATCTCTTCTTTTTTCCATACTGCGGCCGCATGTTTCCGACAAAGTAAACCAGCATGCGCGTTATTTTGCAAGTATTTCGCAGTGTACTGTATACAACAGAATGCATGCTTGGGCGTAATTGGGATTCCTCCTTTCGTGAAGTTGACTGCCGCTAGCTGCAACTGTTGCTGCCATCGTGCATCGGAGTAGGTTATCGTCGATGGCTTTCACCGGCGCGTAAGCAATGACAAGGAAAATGGATAAAATAGAAGAGCGTTTTGATCGCGATTCTCTACGGCTCTGCATAACATAAGGTGATCCATTAATGATTACACAAATGTTATAAAAGAGCGGGAAAGTGAAATTACGTGAAAGGCTAAGACGGAAATATAAAGTGTAATTTTGATAACTCGTGACTATTTTGTTGTCCAAACATTTATCCAATTTCATCAGCAATTGTCAAAATGCAAATTAAAAAGTTTGATATTCTATTGAAGAAAATTATTAAAATTGCTGAAAAAGTTCTTCGTATAATATCCAGATTTTTTTATTAAGAATTTATAAGAATTAAAAGATAGAAAGAGTGTACTTTATTACTAAAGTATCTAAAATTTTAATTAAGGGATAAATTCTTTTATTGAATATTGTTTATAATTATGATATCAATATAATTAAAATTGAATAAAAAAATACGAAAAATTTGAACATAAGATAAGTAATATGATATTGACGAATTAAAAATATAATTTGATTATTAAATAGAAATTTTTTGTAAGTAATGCTATTGAATCTTTTAAGCAGCAAAGCATGAGGGACGGAGACAAGATATAAGGATAGGGCAGAACAGGTAGGGCAGGGCACAAGCAATATGGCTTTGTATTTTCGTAGCTGTCCGACTAAGCAGAGGAATATCCTGATGAGATTATAATGTGAATATAATGACAAGCTCCCGAGCTCCCGAGCTACGCGTCCCATGCGGATCCACTCTTTCGATTTCGTCTCGACCGCGCGCGATGACTATGCGCTTAATCCATAACGTACAGTCTGCTCTTTTCAAGGCTTGAATCAATCCCTACAAAGGGGCCAATATAAATGAAGGAATAAAACAACGATGAAAGTTCTCTAAGGCGATCATATTGTCTAAAGCTAAACTACCATGCGCGTTGAGAGCGCGGTTGTGATTACATTCCTTTTTCTTGGAGCTAGTTAAGGAAATTACAATTATTTGCCATCAAAGCATTATTACAATCGAGATGATTTACAACTAATTTTTGCATGTTGTAGGTGGACTTGTGATATCGCAGGCGGAAGATTTAGAAAACGAAGGAATCTAGGTAAGTTTTTCTTTTTCTTTAAATTATTATTTTTTTTGCATGATAATAATTTTTCTTTTTGTAGTATAATTTAATTATAAAAGTATTTCTCTTGAAGTTATTCTATCAATATATATCACTTCCGAATTTATTATTCACTGCTTAACTTAAATAAAATAACTCATCAATGAGTCGCTCATATAATATGATGGGATCTTACCTTTTCTAATGTTGTTAAGTTATTCTCTCTTTGATTTTTTTTCCTTCTTAAATAAATTTTATTCTATATACACTTGAACAAAGGATATGCTAACTAAGAATACAAATTTTTTCTTATATGATTATTGCGATAAAAGAACACTCGTGTTGCTTATACAAGGGAAAGAGAGTTGCGAGAACTCTGCGAAAACATTCGTGGCACTTTGATACAAAATTGTGTATCTACTATGTATTGAAACTTTGATATGAGCAATACCAGTCATCATCATCAATAATTTCAAATGGCAAACATATAACTAGGATAAATAGATTAGATAAATCATCCGACTTATTTTCTCACGTTGTTATGTATCAATAACGAATTCCTTGATTTATTATCTACATTATTACTTTTATTTGAGCAATTCTTATGTGCGTCGAAAGAAAGATTTGTTTCATGCGAAGAATGCATATTATAATGAGCAACTAGCGACTATGGTACCGCAACTTGGTAATTCTATTTAATTGCTGCGAACGTTAGAAGAGTCATATCCGCATATATTACAGTTATGCATAGTAATGTCATAAACTATGTATATACAGGTTGTTTCATATATGTATGTGTGTTATATAAATAGAATACTATATTCCTTGTCAAGAAAATAAATGTCGTTTTCTTTGGAAAAAACTTCACAAATGAATTTTTTTTATTTTTTAATGTGCCATTATGGTGGATTTGTTATATTTTCTTCAGATAAAAATGTTGACAATAATAATTTTTTATTTTCAAGACATCAATTTAAATAATATCGATTCATTAAGAATATTATAAGCACAGATGGTTGGGGTCAACTGATGGCTGTTTTGTTGTATTTACTTTTTATAACTAAAAAAATAAATAGTTTTATGCAGAGACAGAGCTATCTCACAAGCATATCTAAATCAGATAATCCAGATAAGATATAAAATCATAGCTTTATAATTAGCTTCAAATTTGATATCTTTAGCCGTAACTTTAGACGGTAACATTTTTTTTAAGGCTATTATACATATAATATATATCTATTATATAATAAATCTATTATATATATATTTAGAGTTTTTCTTAATAACTCTGTTATTTGTATTTAATTTGTGTGAACATTCCTGACCTAAATCTTGGACAACTTAAGTGATTATTCGTTAAAATAAAGCACAATTTTACTAAATGTTATACATATTAGTATACAATAAAATTTGATCTTGAAAGAGTAATTCATATTTTATTAAAACATTTCAATATTAATATTAAAATCATTATTTAATATCAAGACTTATTACTGATGTGACTTTGCTTTTATATGCTTGCAACGTCATTTAACGATATAACGAATATAAATGCAACAAAACGCTGATGATTGTTTCGAAATAGTTGCGTAACGTTACTTTTGACAAACGTGATTACAACAGATCGATTTTTATTTAAATCAAAAAGTAAAAATGAGCGATGTATTCCTGCAAGAAATACACAAAACCGGTAGCCATTTCGCGCCCGACAACTTGAACGACATCTTTATTTTCTCATTCCCGTTGTTCGTCTGATTGCACAGAGCTTTCCTCTTTGATTATAAAGGAATGTGTTTTCACACTGCCACGATAAGCGCAGCTTATTGCAGCAACTTTATAAGTCTTAATGAAAAAAAAAAAAACAAATATAGAAAGAAAACTATCAAATCTTTTTCTGAGGTCTTTAGAATTTTTCATAAGCAATAATCGAGATTTCTTAATTTATTGCCCAAAGTGTCGTCTGCTGCATGGATCTATACATATGTACATTGTGTTATCATCAAACACCTATGGTACGTTATCTGTAAAATGAAATTTTTTAAATTCCTCCCCTAGCTGTCTAACATAGATTTTCAAAATTTGTTATTTTGTTAGGTAGTTGGATACGTTATTTTGGTATTATTTCCTTACGTAAGAACTGCATGACGCAGGTCATTGCTTGCGTTTGCTCTGTGTGTCACCGTATGGTGCGCGCGCGCGCACACACCAGTCTGGCGGCATTCCATCGTGATTTGCGAACGTTTCGGTAAAGTGTACAGTGGTGTACAGCGCGCAGTTTGTAGTCCGTATAGTGTTTATGTCTGTACGTACGAGCGCGAAACTCCTAGCTGGCATTTTCACGCAGTGTGAACTGTGAAATGGCCCAATCTGATTATCCATTGAGAAAAATGTTTGTATAGAGAAATATTGGCATTGGCATAAATATACATATAATTGCCTATTAATAATTATTATTATGCAATTATTATCTACTTTTGAATTCTATGAAAACAAATGATTAAAATAATATAATTAAATAAAATATATAAAAAATTTATATATTTAAATTACATTTGGCCAAGAATTTTTATATTTCTGTTTTTTTTGTTTGCATTTTGCAATTGGAATTCACGAGAAGAAATTAAAAAATTTGTTGATACATATTGTACATCTTTACTACACAATACATAAATACATTTTTATAACATGTATTCATTATTTATATGTTATTATGACATGAATATTTAATTTTTAACATAAAAAAACGTCTGAATTATGTAATAAAATATGTGAAAACAATTTGCGCTCAACAGAATCAGACGAATATGTAAAGATGCTCCTGTTTTCGCACATTTTATTACACAATTTCCACATTCGCATAAAAACAGGAGAATCAATTTCTTTGAAACAATTGTACCACACTATGTCGCTTAGACCGTAAGATTATTCATCTCTATGACTTGTAACATCTTCAAGAATCGCTGAAGAAGGACTCGTGAGTTCCGAAACGTTCAATATTATTATATTATTTTTTTTATATATTTTTATGTTATACTGACATTGTAAACTATAAATTTATTTTATATAAAAAAAATTTTATTTAGATTTATCTCGATTTAGATCGTTGTTTCTTTATACTTTGCACTGCAAAAAACGAGCGAAATTTAATTAATTTTTAATTAAATTTATATCTCATTTACTTTAAATATAAATATTTAATATATTTTTGTAAACAGGAATGTAAGTATTTAAATTCTTTTTATTTTAATTATTTATAAGATTCATTAAATTTTAATGTATTACGATATTTATCTGCTTCTTTTCTTTTTTGTTTTTGACTTGCCATAATCGGACTTAGTAAATTCAAATCGATTTCAGTCGGGCTCTCCTTAAAAATCCATCTTGTGATCCAACTGACGATCCATCCTGTGATTATAGCAACGAGAAATCCCAATGGACAATACCACATATAGGATATGCGATAAAGATAAAAATAGGCTTTATCTTTCTCCATTCTGTGTAAATAAAAAATTATTAAAGCTCGTGTTTCATCATTGAAAATATATTAAAATATAACGTTAAAAATTTGAAATTCACAAACGATTTTTTTTTCTTGTATTGTGTGTTTTGAAATAAATTTTTCCACCATGTGTTAACTACATATTTTTCTAACTAAAGCTTCTTATAAATTTAAAATTAAAGTTTGAGTTATACGTATAAAACATCTTTATATTGAGAAAAAATTAAATTTTAATATTTGTTTTAATTATTAGATATTTATTTTGAACAGTTCTAAGTAAATATTTATTAAATTTATTTGATACAAAAATTATTAATTTGATTTAACTATCATTTTTTATTGAATTAATATTTATTTACCGTAAGTAAATGTTTACTATTCAAAGAAAAATGTTTTAAGATTTAAAAAAATCTTAAATAAATAAATTGTTTTAGTTTGCTTAAATGTTTACTCACTCGATTTCATACCGTGAGCTTGTGTAATTCAATGATTTTCCATCGCTTCCGCGAAATATAATAGTGTTGTTGAATCCACAATCGTCTGTTGAAACATCCAACCGCGAAATCGGCGGTTTCGGTTGTCCGAATCCTATCCACAAAGAAAACATGAGACTAAGAATGAAACCCGCAATCGCGCCCTTTTGGTTGCACGATGGGAGAAACATGCCAAGCGTGTATAAACCCAACATAGGTCCACCTACGACACCAAAGATCGTCAGAGCTGCCTGCAGAAAAATAAATTTTGTTGAGAAAGAAATTCTACGATTAAGGTATCTAATTTCATGAAAGATTATCTGAAACACGCAAAGGAGTCTAACAACAAATTTACTAACTAAATATAGAATCAATTTGTGAATGATTTAAATTTTAAATCATTTATCTATGTATGATTAATTATCCCTCGCTTAATATGTTTTTATTTTATTATGTGACTTATTGTTAGTATTGAAAGCAAAGATTATATACCTGCAGCAATCCACCGAGATATTGTGCCAGAAAAGCCACTGCCACACACGATAGTCCAACTACAAGAGCCAAAATTTTGCTAATGATTATTGACGTCGTAGCCGATAGATCCTTGTTTCTGTAATCAATATTATTCGCGTTTTGCTCTATAGAGTATAAAAAATTTTATTATTTTTTATTCGATATATGTATAATTCTTAAAAGAGAGAGAGAGGAGAGAGAGAGAAAAGGAAAAGGGACTATATTATCCTATACAATACTTTTTAATTTTTTTTCATTTGTATATATAGTTATAATGTTTTAATATGTTCCTATACATAACATGATATGAGAGCGTGAACTCAAAGGATTCAGGTTACTTTGAAACTAGGTTGTTTTCCAGATTGACTCTGTTATATGATGTTATACAATTTTTTCACGCTATCATGAGTCTTACCTTATACGCGAGAAAGGCTTGATATAATCTTCAAGAATAACAGCAGCAAGGGAATTAACCGTAGCCGAGATGGTACTGAGTCCGGCACTAAAAATCCCGGCTATGAAAAGCCCAGGCACACCAGGATAATCTGACAGCATGTCCATTACATACAATGGCATCAATTGATCATTTGAACTGATCCTGCCTTCTGTGAGTGGATCACAGTTACGATATTTTGCATACATCGCTAGTCCAGAAAAGCACAGAGTAAGCGACATGATCGATGACATCGGCCAGCTCCACCATAATGCGCGTTGAGCAACTGTTAGATTACTAATAAAATTAAATAATGTTAAATAGAGATATTCTGGTGATATTAAAAATTTGACGATAATTTTGAAATTTGATCTTTTCGGCAGCCATCAAATTCCATTAAAGAAGTTTTAAAAAATTTGTTTTTATGGGATGATGAATTATAAGTGCATCAGTAAGAAAAATAATATTATGGTAGAATAATAATTTTAATAATAAATAATTGAAAAGAAATAATATAATTCTAGTAATAAATAATAACTTTAGTAATATATATATATATATATATATATACAAATAAGAACAAAATATCTTGTGAATAATGTATCAATTTTTAAATAATACATTATTCACAAAATACATACAAGATATATTTTGCATATTTAAGTATCAGATTTTAAGTGAGGTAATCTTCATGTTCTTAAATTTATAAAAATATGAAAAGAAGAATTATCTTAAAGAATTTTATGTTTTGCATGTAATATCTTTGGACTCGATTAATTCGCGTTTGATTGGAAATTATGTCAATCTCGCTTTACCTGACAGTCAGCATTCTTTGAACCTGAACTTGATTAACGCTGTACAAGGAAAGGTAAGTAAAGAAACCACCAAGTGTCAAACTCCACCAAGTATGTCGTACAGTTGGATCCGGAGAGATGCTACAACAGACATAAAAAGTTAAAATAAATAAATACTTCCTGTGCTTGCGTTGGCAACTTTATTTTATTCATTTTATTTTATCTATAAATACGTTACTTTCAATTATTTAGCAAAAGTTTCTATTTCTCTTTTTTCCACTTTAACTTATTAAAAAATTATGAAATTGAGATAAAAGAAAAAACAAATAAAATTATAGAATTCATAATTTATTCACCATACGTGAAATATTATGTAAAGTAGAAGATATGTATATTCCCGTAGAAATATACATATATCCAATAACAATACATAATAGAAATATAACATAAACGATTTAGAAGGACATACAATGACATTTTTGAGGAACTTTTATATCATTCAGATAATTACTTGTCGAATTCCAACCGAGATCCCTCTTCAGCGATCTGCCAAATTCGGTCTAGACCACCAGTAGCAACTGCTGCGGTAGCTATAACTGTGACAACGGCAGTCAGCATTAACAGACTCTGAAAAACATCAGTGATAAGTACCGCCTTGATGCCTCCGATCGTCGAATAGAAAGTGCAGATGAGTCCTAAACCAATCACACTTGCGGTCGTTGAAAGACCGGTGGTAGCTTCTAAGGCCAACGCAGGTGCATATAACACCACACCGCTGTATAGAAGCAATTGGAGCAAAAAAGCAAAACTGGCTATTAATCGGGTAGTCGTGCCGAAACGCTTCTGTAGATACTGCAACAGATATTTATATACTTGCATTAAATCAATTTTAATCAATTAACTTTTAAAGCAATACTGCCTAATACTACTAGTACTATCTTCAAAATGATTGATTATAGTTTTGTTAATTTAAAAAAGTATGTCAAATATAAAATAAAACATGTTTTCACTTTTTTTAATTCAAGAAGTAATTTTCTTGCTAATCCAGATATATATATCTTGTTGAAGAAAATTACTAGTTGAACTAAAGAAAAACAAATTTATAATTAAAATTTTATTTGCATGCATAAAAAACGTATTTTCTTATATATTATAATTTAAAATTATGATCAATATGCTTCTAAGCTAATAATAATTAAGAACATCAAGCATTTTATTAGACCAACATAACTGATATAAAACAAAATACTTCAAATATAATTAAATATTTGTAATTTCTAAAGATTATCTTTAGCAGAATTACTCTCGAATTTTGCATAATGATATTAATGTTTTTTTTACCTCGAAAGTGCTTGCAGTGTCTAGTTTGAAAAATACCGGTAAATAAAAATAAGCTGCAAACGGTGTGGCAAGACCATAAGAGATGTTGATCACAGTGTACTGTGTACCGTACACGTAATTTTCAGAGCTCACTCCGAGTAGACTGACTGCTGATAAATATGAAACCATCAAACCTATCGCTACCGGGATCATTCGCATTGACTTGTTGGCCATAAAATATTCCTACAGAAATACATTCAAGAAAAGCTATTTTATTTCATTTATTTTATTTTATTGTCTAGGTATTTTTATTGAAAAGATATTAATATTATATTAATAATATAAAATATATAAATCATATATACAAACGAAACATTAAAATTAAAAGTTATTACAGCATAGTTCATTATCGTGTGATATAAAATATGAAAATGCAAGGTATAACATAAAAAAAAAATTTAATTACCTCAGTCGACTTTTGTCGGCCACCGATGAGCCAATAATATACACCGATACCGGAACTGATCAGAATTAATGCACCGATCACTGCATAATCCGCTGCAGTTAATGTAGCCATGATGTTTGTCACAATTCTATCCACTATATTATCAATTAAAAACGAATTTTAACATACGGCATATAGTTTAGTTCTTGAATAACTTATCCTATTCTTGAAATAATTATACACTTTACTTCATTTTTAAGAGAACCCAACAAATGCCGTCTGGGATATGTGTTGCTTATCAATGTGTAATACTTGTCATTACGTATCGTAAGCATATACAGCACGTTTATAATCTCTGACGTGATCTAATCTATATGCCTCACTATCAAAGAATACACAAATCAAAATAAGTCAATAATGCAAAAGTCAATGTAAGCCAACACAGGATGGCAATAATGTGTAAAATTTGTGTGTATTATTAATAATAATTGACATTTCCAGTGTAACAAACAAGTAGTAACAATTTTAAGTACTAACCATTAAATTTTGATATAATATAAACAAGATGCTTTGTAAAACCGGCGATATGTCGCGAGTATAAAGTCAGAAGCTTGGTCAGAAGTAATCGACCATAAATAAAAACTTCAACCGCTATTATATTTGGCTAAATACGTACTTCGATAATCCGATATTAAAACTCAAATATATTAAATGCATGAATATCTCAGTTTACAAGCTACTCAATTATAGTTTCATTGTAATCTTTAACAAAGTACTTAAAGGACCGACATTTTTATGTAAAAAGTTTTTTTTTTTACTTTTGAAAGCAAGTTTCGTATGAAAATTGTGAGATTGCCGAAAGAGAGACGAAAGATAATTATCATTTTTTTTAAATCTTGACTTCTTCTATTAAGAATAGATTAATACGAATTTTTTAAATGGCACTACTGATTGTTTACTGACAGTTTACTAATTGTTGACAGTGAGAACGCTGGGCGTAGCGGCGACGACATGAAGCATGCAGCATGCGTGGTAGCGGTGTCACGGCTGCGCGGTCTTGCCTTCAACCCCTGGTGTCCGCCAGCCGCTATCTCGCCATTCATGCCCTTCCCGGTGATCCTCTCTACTTCATCGTTGAGGTGAGGCAAATATCAATTACGAACAAGTGTAAAAAAGTGTAACGATACCTATTATTGTAAAAAAAATTAAAATAATTTCGTTACAAATGTGTATGAATAAAAAAGTAACATTCTTTTATTATGGAAAGTAATTGTACTGAATTTGAAGATTTCAAATATAAAGAATTTGAAAATATTACACAACATTGTACATCATTTTTTTAATAAAATGTAGAATTTATTTATTACTTTTCTCATTTTTATAAACAGGATAATAAAGGTACATGAAATATTTAATAATGATGACTCGAGAATGAATGTCAGTTAACGAGAAAGCAACTAATTGAAAAATATTTATAAATTATTTCTGGAATTTTTAATGCTAATTCGTTCATTTAATGCTAGTCCGTTTTATTATTTCAGGCTAAGTCGAGAGTAAAGGAGGTTTATACGCAGACATGCACACTTCTCAGTCAACAGGGCATGCGAGATTGCGAACTTTTCGGTTTGGCAATATTGTCCGGTGAGTTGTATTTTTGTTTTTTCATTAATTTTATAGATTAAGTAATGAGATAAGAAGAATTGATAAAATTCATATTCTTATAAATGAATTCTGTTATTTTACATTAATTTTGATATGTAGAATTATTAAAAGAATTTATTTATGTAAAAATAAATTGTGTAATCTTATTTGAAGAAAAATTTATCTTTATTTTGTTTTGTTAATAACTTCATAATGTGGAATATGGATGATCTTACAACAATACGTTAAAATTAAGTTTATCAGAATCGCTTCCTTAAAAATAAAAATATAGCTTCAATAAATTAATTAATTTTCTTTCTTAATTGTAATACTTTATAATTTAAAGTATAAAATATAAAAATATAGAAACAAGAATTTAATGCGTGCATTGAAATGGCTGTTTGAAAAAATAGACATCCAGTTTTATGTTACGTTATGGATCTATTTTCTATGACGAAGAAAGTGACATAAACAGAGAAATCGCGAAACCTAGCGAGGATGTCCAAGCCTCTTGACTAATCGTCAGGTTTTTCTGCATACCATACGGCTCACGTTCATCGCTACCCTCACCAATCGTGACAAGCCGGTCCGACTGGTGGCCCCCACTACTGGATAAAGCCTCCCCGGGTCCTCAAAGAGCCCTACGAGAATACGAGATCCCACCTCACCCATCCCTTCTACATTCCAGCAGAGCACCATCATCGGACTCGGTTGAGTTGGCAGGTCTTGAGACGCGCGAGCCATAGCATGACAAGAAAAAATGCACCTGAAAAACAAGTATAAGAAGAAAGGCAGCTCACACTCTCTGTATGCGCGTTATGGCTTATACGATTCGCGGTGGGTCTTGCTAAAAGTGGATCTTGCGATCTAAATTAACTTTTGCTTCCCATTTCTTGTGCTTTTTAGTCTTAGAAATAAATTCTTAATTCTCTAGTTCGTCTCTTCCTATTTTGTCTTATTCTTTTATTTTGTGGTTTCTATTTTTTTTTTTATTTTCTTCTTATCACTTCACATGATTTTTCTCCGTTGATGAAAGAGTATATACTCAAATTTATTTGTGTATTTTTTAAAACACTGTGCAACGGTGAGTTTATTTCGCTGAAAAATATCTGTTAAACAAATATTGTATATTCCAATTATTTATTCATTGAGTTGAGAAACTACTTGGTCGAACTCATGCTCTAAGAATGTTCACCTTTATCGTGAATTCACCTTTTTTGTGATTTGATGACTCAACTTACAACGAGTATTTAATGATAATAAGAGAAACAATAGAAAAAAGTTAGGAAACATTAGATTTTCTATAATAAGATTGGAAAACATTAGATTTGTACAATTAGAATTTCTATTTGGATATCAATAAAATTAACGATAAATTTTAGTTATGAAAGATTTGAATGTGCAGCAGATATAAATAATTGAGTAAGAGAATGTTCTGCGCAATGTATATATATAAAAAAAATAGAGATAGATAAATACATAAGTAGAGAGAGAAAGAGGGGGGGGAGAGAGAGAGAGAGAGAGAGAAAGAGAGGGAGGGAAGGAGAGGTATGCGATAAATGAGAGAGATAATAGATTGCCGGAGTATGGAGAAAGACGGAAGGGGAATGACGAGCGTTAAAGAAAGGAAGCGGCCAGATAGAGTAGAAAGAGAAAAACGGGCGGAAAGGGGAAGCACAAGAGAAAAAAAAAGAGAACGGAGCCCCGGGTAAGACGGTAGCCCGATGATTTGTATAAGGCCTCTCGTATTCCATCTCCCAGTCGAGCATCTTCGGCGCAACGTACGGCTCCGTGTACAGGAATGTGGAAGGAGGACGCCGAGGACAAGGATCGTTGGCACACGACGTGGTGGAAGAGGGGCGAAAAGGTCCGTTCTAGCTAGCGGAGGGGAGACGGAGCAGAAAATACTCTCCAGCGCAGGTTCAAGGGATATATATCGCGGCGAGGTTAAAGCTGCGCGTCACAACAGGGCCTCAAAGTCTTCTCCCTCTGTATCTTCTTCTCGTATCCTTCGCGACCCACACCGTATGTCACATTCTGCTCCAACGAACCTCACGAGCAACACCTCCGCCAAACTCATCAGCAAACCCTTTGATTTTGTTAAAGAAGAAATATGTTTTCTGCGACAATTTTTCATCCTGTTCCATTAGACTATCTCTTAAACTTTAAGAGAAATTCTTTGATCTATTCAAGACCTTTTTTGTGTTTGTTTTTTTTCTACTTCTTCCTTTTTCTTTCCTTCCTATTCAATTTTCGTAATATTTACGAGATTTGTTCTTTATAATGAAGAAAAGTCCTGAGTGTAAAAGCGAGGCCAGGGCTAAATACGTTTGCGAGATTTCTCGCAAGAAGTCTTTAATCTTTGGTAGATTCAATAAGTTCAGAGGTATGCGTTTGAATGGAGACTAAGTCTATACAAGATAGTTAACGAGAGTGCGAAGAAAAGAGCAGCTCAGATCTCCCCCTCTTCCTCCGGGGTGATCAAGGCAATCAGGGATGATTACGAGTGTAATTATGGTTATGGCGCATTGCTGCACCATACTGAACGAGAAAAAAAAGAGTATTGTTTCTTTCTAGGAAACAGAAAGCTGGGCTCTTGTTTGTTGAACTTTTCTTGTTGCAACACAAGACGCTCCTTTCCAATTTTTCCAATGCTCTACACGAAGTGCGACATGCATTTATTAAAAAACAGATTTTGTTTCTCGCGTTAAGAATTAAACAATAAGACAGATTCTAAAAGTTTTATATCAAACAGGAACAAATCACTATTTAATACATATATTCTTTAGACTAAATAAAAAAATAATTTTTCAGTGTATTAAATACGTTACAACATTAGACAGAAAATTAATCGTAAAATATAATGTATCAATATACGTAAAATAATATATATATATTGTATGTAATATATTAATATATATTTCTTTAATAATGTATTCGAATTTATTGAAACATATCAAGATATTTACAAAAATGATACTCAAATACATATATAAGCAGAATAATGAAAAGAATCGATTTAAAATAAGTAAAAATATTGTTTAAAAAAGTCGAGTTGACTTGAAATCTCTGAAACACCTCTATCTTTCGAGCAAACGTAAATTCGTACTAGGGTTCAGGACAGACGAAAGTCTAAAACAAAAGGGAATAAAACTTAAATCCAGGATGCGGACTCGATCGGATCCAAGCAAGATGAAGAAAAAGGGAGATTGTGCTCCCTCCGTGACTGCGAAGAATATCTCCAGAGGAATACGATGGGCCCTATAGTCCCGATGGATTATTACGCGAGGGCCAGGGTTAGCCTTCGGGCAACATTCCCCAGTAATAGCTGGGTTATACCTCGGGTAACACAGGTGCTCTCTTCCCCACGGAAAGAGTGAGCGTATCGAAAGAGGAATACCGGAGCGGCTTAAGTCCATTTTAGACGACCTATAATTTGCAACAGAATACAGAATAAAATTCTACGGGTAATTTGATATATTATAAAGAGA